ATGTTGGCTATATCGTCATTGACCTCCAAGGTATATTCTATAGCGTTTAGTCGAGCTTCAGGCGGAACCACATGATCTTCGTCCCTTAAGTCCGGGCGGCGTGACAACGGATCCGCCACATTCTCCTTGCCAGGTTTATGGTGAATAGTGTAATCAAAGTCCGCAAGAAATTCAACCCAACGGGACTCCCTTTTCGTGAGATTTGATTTTGTCAGTAAGTAGACTGCTGCTCGGTTGTCTGTGAAAACGTCAAAGTGTTCAAACAAATAAATGCGCCACATCCGGAGGGCGGACACAACTGCTAACGTTTCTCGTTCCGACGCTGTGTAGTTCCGCTCCGCCGAGGAAAGCTTTCGACTGCCGTACGCCACTGGCAACCAACAACCAGGTTCCCCCTCCTGCGAGAGCACCCCCGCGATTGCAAAATCGCTAGCATCAGTTTCAACTCGGAAAGGTTTTGATACGTCTGGAAGTCTCAAAATAGGGGGATTTAGCAGTGCCCTTCGCAACTCCTCGAATGCTGCCTGGGCCTCACCAGTCCATGAGAACCTGGTGTATTTACCCGTTAGCTCCTCCAAGGGCTTGGAAATATATGAATAGTGTCTAATAAAGCGACGGAAGTAATTGGTAAACCCGAGAAATTGTCTCACGTCTTTCACCGTACATGGGGTGGGCCAATCACGAACTGCAGCCAACTTCTCCGGATCAGGGCTAATCGAGGAACCGGTCAAACGGTGACCCAAGAATAGAATTTCTTCCACCGCAAACTCGCATTTCGGTAACTTGCAGAATAGTTGGTTAGCGCGGAGGGTAGTCAGAACGGTTCGAATGTGCTCAACGTGCTCTTCCAGGGTTTTGCTAAAAATCAGAATGTCATCCAGGAACACTACCACGAATTGGCGCAAGTACGGCTGCAGAATGGAGTTCATCAGTGATTGGAAGGTTGCCGGGGCATTAGTCAGACCAAACCCCATGACCCTGAACTGGTAGTGGCCAAACGGGGTGTTAATTGCCGTTTTCGGCACATCCTCCTGTTGTATCCTGATTTGGTTGTATCCTGCGGGAAGATCAAGCTTCGAGAAATATGCACTGCCCTGCACTGTGTCGAATAGGTCCTCAATGTTAGGGAGGCAGGCCTTATTCTTAATTGTTATTCTATTAAGTTCCCTCCAGTCACACACCATGCGAAGAGATCCATCTGATTTCTTCACAAAGAACACAGGAGCCCCATAGGGCGACTTACTCGGCTCTAAGAAGCCTTTCCGGAGCAGCTCCTCAATCTGCTTCTGGAGCTCGTCTAGCTCCGGCTTCGGAAGGCGGTATGCCGGTCGTGATGGTGGCGCTGTCCCTTCCGCCACCTTTATTTCATGGTCGACCGTTCGCTCTGGCGGTAGTTGGTCAGGGAGCTCGTCCGGAAATAGGTCGTCGAACTCACGTAGCAGAGCGTTCAGCTCACTTCCGAAGTGAGTTCCTTCCTTGTCACGGATAGGTGGTGGATCTTGGCCCGGCGCATCATCCTCCATAGAGACCCAGGCTATATACGCTTCGTCTCCTGAACGAATAGCGGCATTCGCTTGTGCTGCAGAGATGAAGTGGGATTCTGCGAACTCGGCGTCCTCGCCAGCTTCGTGGCCTCGAGCCACGAAGGTGTCCTCCTGGATCTGCACCTTTTTACTCCGGAAGTCGATCGTTGGGTTGTGGCGAGACAGCCACGGCATTCCCAAGATGGCGTCGTAGCGCGCCAGTGGCAGCACGGTGAAGGTCTGGGTTTCGCTGAAGTCAGCTACCACCACTTTTACTGGCCCGGCAGTTTCCAAAGGCTGTGTACGAGACGAGCCATCTGCTAATGTGACCTTCAGCTCCTTGGTCGCCGTGTCAGTCTTCAGGTTATGTCTCCTGACGAACTCCGACGACAAAAAATCGTGGGTAGAGCCAGAGTCTATTAGCATGGTAGCCTTCCTCCCATTCACCTTCCCAGTGACACATAGCAGATCGTGCTCTGCGCTCATCGCCACGCTGCTGATGTGCGCCTTAGGCGTAGCGTCAGAACTCTCCACTGCAGGATCGCTTGCGCTGTCTCCTTCCTCAACACTCAGGCCCTCGAACCTATTGAACACAATGAGTGGTGTGGGTGCCTGAGTATCCACCGCCAGTGAGCGCACTCCCTTCTTCACTGGCTGGAAGCGTTTGGGGAATTCACGATGACTGGACAGTTTCTGGCAATATGTCCAGGCTTCCTGCATGAGTAACATATGGGCTCACTCGTACGGTTAGATTGCTGCTGCTGACGTCCCCATGGACTGACAGGTTGCCTCGGTGTACTGGCCTGAGCGTGAGGTGCCGGACCCGGGTGCCTCGACCGACGAATGCCTGTGCCTGTGGTGGTCTGTTCCCTCCATACTCCTGATGCCTGCATGGCTGCCATGCGTGCGGCACGAATGGCCTGGCCTAGTGTTGTCGGGTGCTCCCGAAGAGCCGAGTGACCGATTGCTGCATGCAGGCCCCTCACGAACAGCACCGCCTTCGAATGGTCATTCAGGTCGTTCACCTGAAGGCAGAGGTTAGTGAATTCCTGTACGTATGCGTCCAGGCTGCCGCGCTGCACCAGTCCAAACAGCTTGAGGCGCGCTTCCTCCTGTTCATGGACTGGGCCATACACGTCGCCGAGTGACTGTTTTAGCGTCGGCCAGTCGTGGATGCAGGCGCCGGAATCCAGTACCGACATCAGCCAAAGCCTGGCGTTGCCTTGTAGGTAGCTGGCAGCGAATCGCACCTGCTCCTGGTCGTCGTTGACGCGCTGTGACACCATGGCGAGCTCGATAGCGAAGACCCACTCCCTGAAGTCCGCAGGGTTGCCCGAAAACACCGGAGGCCTATTGACTGTCCCATCAAATTTCCTGTCGAGCAGTCGTTGGTCCGTGGGCCGTTGAGGTCCTTGAGGTATATCCGTCGTTGCGGCAGTTTGTACCCGTCGACGCGCTCCGTCCTTGTAGCGGTCATACCGAGCTAACAGAAGGGTGGCCACGCATACCAGCAAACAAAAAATCTCGACAACCATCCTTTGCTACCAGTGTAACCGTCCAACCAGAGCGATTCAGCGGAAGCGTGCTGGGCCCATAACCCAGAGGTCGATGGATCGTAACCATCCTCTGCTACCAGTGTAACCGTCCAACCAGAGCGATTCAGGATCAAGAGTAGAACGACTTTATTATACCATCAACGGGGTTATATGGGACAGAAGTGTAATCCAAGGTGAACATGCAACACAGGTGTGATGTAACACAACGTAAGTGGGAACGTGTAGTAGGATGCACAGTGTGAGTGTGTGAATCTGTTACATATGCTCTCCCTTCGGTGGCTTACCGAAGATGTGGGTGGTAGGCTGAACACAGCGCGGATGGCACGGTTCTGAAGACGTTGGAGTTTCCCTAGAGCGAAAGCTGAGAGGGACGTGCTATAGGCCACACTTCCATATAATAGGTCGGGCATCACAACGGATTTTAGGTATTGGACCCTGGCCTTCTGGGAAAGGGATCGCCGGGCTCGCCACAATGCTCCGACTTTCCTGTTCACCTTCGCTGTAACATCGTGGATATGATGGTCCCAGGTCAGTTGCTCGGTGATGGTTAAGCCCAAGTACTTGGCCGCAGTACAAGCAGGTAAGCGGGTCTGATGGCAATTTACAGCGATACTGGTTTGCGCATCCCTCCCACAGATGGACAGAACTTGACTTTTGCGTTCATTCAATATCAGGCCGCGGTTTTCGAGCCAGTCGGCCAGCGCAGTGACGGATGACGAGAGTCCCAGTGAAATAGTTGCCGTGTTGGAACCACTTTGGTACAGTGCAATATCGTCAGCAAATTGTATGCTAGGGGTCGGGTGAGCTACCGCAGCTACCGCTTGGGTGTATATATTGAACAAGATGGGCCCCCATACAGATCCCTGGGGTACTCCACTAGTGCATACTGTGATGTTGCTCAGTTCGCTACCGATGCGGACTCATGCTCATGGACATGCTGATCGAGGCAATGGTGGTAACACAGATCTTCAGCAGCTTCACCAGCAGGGGAAGTTCTACTGCTGCCTAGCCATTCTCGGTTGTGAACATTTAGGTCACCTGCAACGATGATATTCTGGCAGCATTGCCTAGCATCATCTATGCCAGAGCTGATGCTGTTTAGGGCAGAGATGTCTCCATCAGCGGATGAACCTGAGCGATACACAGCACATACTCCAATGGATGGGCCAGCTGCTGTCTTGAGGCGAACCCACAGGATTTCATTTCCACCATTATCAATACATTCTAGTTCTGTGAAAGCCAGGTCGGCCCGAATCCAGATAGCAACACCGCCCCCCTGGGCCGTACGGTCCCTTCGAACTGGTGGGAAGTATCCAGGGAATGTGAGGTCAGCAGGCGTGGCCTTGTCCTCCGTGACTTTTGTCTTCGTGACGATGACAATTGTCGTGATTACATCACGAAGTTGTACATAATATCACGTGTATGTTTGTGTGACGTTATCGTCCACGTAGCATTAGCCCTTTTGTTTGTTTTGATGGCTTTATGGTTTTACCTGGCTTCTTGATGATCAGAGATTAGAGTAAGTCATGTAGTACTGAATGAGAATTAATCCCAGTCCTTATGAAGTTAGTTATGTTGTGGAACTAAGAGAGTCTAGACTCTAGTCACAACATAAATTGGTGCCGAAACCATGTCCGAGTATCCAGGGAGTCTCCGAGTTTTAGCAAATAAAATTAGTGCATTGTATTCTACTGTCCACGATGACGATACGAAGTGCCAACGTTTAGTTTCAGAAAGTTGTCCATCTGACGACGCAGACCAGTGGGTTGGGATTCGGACCCAGTTTTGTGAACAGCATAGAGATGCCCTCACGAAGTTGGATGCTGACCTAGATAAGTACGGCGCTGCGTTATAAGATTTCGTGGCTAGTGGAGCAACTCAAAAAAAGAAAAAGAAAGAAGATGAAGAAAAGTATGAAAATATGGCCAGTACGTTACCGTCGTACTTCAAAAATCTGTCCCTGCTGAGTGCTCAAGCCAAAAGAGCCACAGCCAGCGCCAGTGCCCAGAACACCAGTACCAGCAGTCAAGCACCTGGAATTGACGTCCAGCAGCTGCTGACAATGCACACCGCAACTCAGCAACAAACACAGCAGTTGCTGTCAGCCATTGGGAAGCACACCAGCACGGTTGGCCAGCTGGCGGCCAACTCGGCACAGCCTGCACAGAGTGCTCATGGATCTGTGAAATTGCCCGTGCTCACAATCAGGAAGTTTGATGGTGACATACTTCATTTCACTGAGTTCATTGACATGTTTCAATCTGCGATCGGTACAAATCAAAGCCTGTCTGCCGTACAGAAACTGTCGTATTTGAGAAGTCATTTGACAGGCATGGCCCTGGATGTTATTGCCGGTATTCCCACCACCGATTCAAATTACCCCGTGGCGTTAGGAATATTGAAGGATCGCTTTGGCAAGAAGGATGCCATCATCGCAGCCCGATACCGCGCAATTACCGAAATGCCAGCGCCATCAAATAAACCTCACATGTTGCGGAGATTTTACAACGAGGTGGAGGCTAATTTGCGCTGTTTGCAAGCGGAAGGTCAAAGTGTGCAACAGGAACTGCTGATTCCTGTCATCACTTCCAAGTTACCAAAGTGCGTCATCGTACAACTTGAGACACAGAAACCCCACAATCAGAGTTGGACTGTTGATGAGCTGCGGAAACAGCTGGGAATCTACCTGGAGGTCCGTGAATCGGCCGAGCGACTGGCAGGAGACACAGCCAGCAAACTAGAGAGCACTCTGCCACGACCACCGCCTGTTTCCGCACAGCCTCATGCTGCCTACTCCCAACCTCCGGCCACGGCAGCCACGTTAGTTAGATCTGTGCGGCGCGCCACTCCGAGATGCTTCTTCTGCAAGTTGCAACACTTCTCGGACACCTGCCCAACGTTCAACACGGTTTCTACCAGACAGCAGCAGCTACAAGACCACTGCTTTGTGTGTTTACGGAAGGGACATTGGGCAAAGGACTGTACTGCTAGAAGACCCTGCTATCACTGCAATCGGTTGACCCATCACCGTGCCCTGTGCCCTCAGAAATTTGGCTCATCACCAGTGTCAGCTGCCGCAAGTACCTTCTATCCTACTCAGCAGCAGCAAGGGCCACAGAAACATACTACCGCTACGGTGCACGTCCAGTCCAAAGGTGTGAATCTCCCAACCGCCATCGCAACTGTCGCCGGGCAAGGCAACATCTCAGACTGCCGACTGTTGTTTGACACCGGCTCAACTCGCACATTTATTCATGAATCGTTAGCTGCCTCTGTCAACGCAGCTGTTGTCGGTGAAGACGTGTTGTCCATCGCTAGTTTTGGATCTGCGTCCCAGCGAACGGTCACCTTGCCGAGAGTGGAGTTTTCCCTCCTATGTCGAGATGGATCAGCCTTGCCCGTAACCGCCAATGTTATGCCGTGGATTTGTTGTCCTGTTGTCAAATCCCCAATCGACATCGACCAGTACCCTGAAGTCAAGAACATCCAACTAGCTGACACCATTGTCACCAAGCGTGAGGAGGTAGAAATTGACCTCCTTATCGGCACGGATTTCTACTTCTCCATCATGGGTAACGGTCACATCCAACTCAACAATGGCCTGGTCTTGCTGAACTCCAAATTGGGATTTGTCCCAGCAGGCCCTACTGACACAGAGACAGATGACACTGCGGGCCACATAATGCTCACAGATGCTACCACCTTGCCAGACCCAGTATTTGATCTCCAACGTTTCTGGCGACTTGAAGATATTGGTATCACCGATGACATCAGTGATCCGCAGACAGCGGACGACATTGCCCTGGAACACTTTCGCAGCTCCTTGCAACTGATCAACGGCCGATATATGGTATCTTGGCCATGGAAAGATAGCCATACTCCACAACCTAATCTACCAGAGAACTACGAGCTCGCCTCGGCCGTCTCAAATCCTTAGTCAAACGACTCCAGCAGACACCACAAGTGCTAGAGAAGTATCATTGTACCATCACAGAGCAGTTAGCCAATGGCATTATCGAGGAAGTGAACCTTGATCACCAGGATGGGCCGATTCACTACATCCCCCACCACTGTGTTGTTCGCCCCAGCAGTACCACAACAAAGGTTCGTGTGGTATATGATGCTTCCGCCAGAACTCACGCAGAACACAACAGCCTGAACGACTGCCTGCACCGAGGTCCGATACTTCTGCCGGATCTGTGTGGTATCCTGGTGAGATTTCGGCTAAACCCCATTGGCATTGTCAGCGATGTTGAGAAGGCCTTCCTTCAGCTAGGTCTATCTATGACAGATCGCAATGTAACACGGTTCCTATGGCTTCGCGATCCTACAAAACCCGTCACCACAGCCAACCTAGTGATCTACCGCTTTTGCCGAGTTCCATTTGGCATTGTCGCTAGCCCGTTTCTTCTCGCCGCCACAGTCGACCACCATCTCCAACAGCAACAGACAGGGACATGCGATGATGTACGTCGCAGTATCTATGTTGACAACGTTGTCACCGGGCAGAGCAGCGTCCAGGATGCTACTGCATACTACAGAGAGGCAAAGGACGCCTTTGCCAGTGCCACCATGAACTTGCGTGAATGGGGTACCAACGATCCTGACTTCAGAGATGCTCTAGCTCCTGAAGACAAGTCTAGCTGTGATGTAATGAAGGTACTGGGTATGTCATGGGATACCAATCGCGATACTCTGTCGACGGCAAAGTCAACCACAAACCAGTACTCCGTCATTACCAAAAGAGATGTCCTGCGCAGCATAGCCCAATTCTATGATCCGATGAGCCTGTTCTCCCCGGTCATCATGCGTGCGAAGATCCTAGTACAGAGTATATGGAAGCTACATGTAGACTGGGACTCTCCGCTGCCTGACGCTCTCGTTCATGAATGGAAGGATATCCTGTCCGATCTGTCCTGCGCAAGTGACGTTGCCATTCCTCGCTTCATTGGACCAAAAATCCACGTCGACAAGGTCACCTATGAACTCCACGTCTTCTGTGATGCGTCTCAAGATGGTTACGGTGCAGCCGCGTACCTGTGTGTGAGACAAGTTGACGGTGCCTATTCGTCAGTTGACCTGATCTACAGCCGAACACGAGTCTCGCCCATCAAGGCTACAAGTATACCACGTCTAGAGCTCCTAGCAGCACTCATCGGCGCCAGGATCATCAAATTTCTGAAGAAAGAGCTTCTGGGCGCAGTTCACATCTCAGCTACCCACCTGTGGTCTGACTCACAGTGCGTGCTTGGCTGGATTAAGAATACTGAGAAATCGTACCCTGTCTTCATCGCCAATCGGTTGAAGGAAATCCGTGCAGACCAGAGTGTGTGCTTCAACTATATCCGTACAGCCGACAACCCAGCCGACCTACCATCCCGTGGAGCATCGCTAGCCACACTGACAGACAGTACAGCTTGGTGGTGTGGTCCAGAATGGCTTCGAGATCCTCCTGTACACTGGCCCAAAGACGTCATCGATGCTCCTTCCACAGTTCTATTCGCGGCGGAGGGTCCTGCGGAAACCGAGACCAGCAGCAAGCCATCACCGCTGAGTATAGATGAGAGCAAGTATACTTCGTTTGAGAAGCTAGCCCGTGTAACAGCATACGGTATCAAGTTTGCCAAGAGATGGCGTCAACAGACCACATGCGGCACTCATTTGTCTGCTGCTGAAATCGACAACGCCAAACATCTGTGGATTCAACATGTTCAAGCAACACACTATACACCGGAGATTGAGGCTATCAAAAGCAACGCCAAGAACAAGCTGGTCCAAAACCTTGCGCTCTTTCTAGATGAACATAACCTCATCCGCTGCAAGGGTCGATTGGAGAATTCATCCCTACCATACTCAGCGAAGTATCCCATCCTTCTACCTCGTTCACATCCAGTAACCACAGCTGTCATCAATGACTGTCACCGCATGGTGCTGCACAGTGGAACTAACCATACCCTATCGCGAGTCAGGTATGACTATTGGGTCCCCAGAGGACGACAAACCGTCAAGACTGTACTCAAGAAATGTGTTGTATGCAAGAGGTTCAATGGTCGGCCGTACTCGCTACCGAAAATGGCACCCTACCCTCCAGAGCGCGTAGCTGAGTCTAAACCGTTCACACACGTCGGCGTCGACTACTTCCCAATGACAGTCAGAGAACATGGACTCATCCACAAGGTATGGGTGTGCCTATTTACGTGCATGGTCACACGTGCCATCCACCTCGAGCTTGTTGCTGACATGACCACAGAACAGTTCCTGATGGCATTGCGCAGATTTGTGGCAAGAAGAGGAGTATCGCGCAAGATCTTCCCTGACAACGCTCAGCAATTCCTGCTTTCGAAATCGACTCTACAGCTTGCTTGGGAAGCCATTGTGAAGGATGACCACACTCTTAATTATGCTGCTTCCCATGGAATCGAATGGATTTGCATTGTGCAACTCTCCCCATGGATGGGCGGGTTCTATGAACGGTCGATTGGAATCGTGAAGAAAGCCCTCCGTAAGTCTATTGGCAGACTAGTTCTCGGAACAACGGAGCTGTCAACCATTCTCGTCGAAGTTGAAGCAGTAGTAAATTCACGACCGCTGGTGTACGTAAGCGATGAGATCTATACGGTCTTGACACCTGCCCACTTCTTATCATTATCAGCCGAAATCAGTCTACCCCAAGGGCATGTAGAAGAGGACCCTGATTTCGCCCCAACAATGTCGTCAGCGGAACTGCTACTTTCTACGTGGAAGAAAGGTCAGAAGCGATTGAATGAGTTTTGGAACTGTTGGAGATCTGAATACCTAACCAGTCTACGAGAACGGCAACAATCGCAATTGAAACAGGTTGCTCATTCTACCGTTAAGCCAAGGATTGGACATGTGTGCCTCATCAAGGACGACGCGCCCAGAGGTATGTGGAAACTGGGTATCATCAGCGAACTTCACGCTAGTCGTGATGGAGAAACGCGTTCTGCCACTGTGAGGACGCCCAATAACAAGCTCCTACGGCGCTCACTACAGCACCTATATCCGTTGGAGTGTGAGTCTGCTCGACCTGCTGACCACTCGTCGAATGAACCACAGCCTCCCGCTGTAACCAACGACGCACACTTCCCTGTAACAGTTTCTCGACCGGTAAGACGAGCTGCTATCGAAGGCTTAGGACGTGTCCTGGATTTGCACGAGGCAGACTTGGTTTAGTTCACCATGCTGGTGTCTGTCTCAATCAGCTATCATCCACTCAAGCTGTATAATTATGTTCACCCCCTTTTTTATTCAAGTTTTCTTTTCCTCTGCCAACTTGCTCTCCCAATCACTACTTTGGCACTAGGGTGTAGTATGGGCTCCATGACTTATGTGTCCTTGCTCTTCAGTACCTTCGCAATTTGGTTCACAAGATATGTCACATCATTAGCGTAGCCTGTCAGGAGACATGCGTCTGTGGGGACTGCCCTAGTTAACATTAACAATACCCAAATAAAAATAATCACCTAAATACGCAGTTCTTATGCGCTATTATAATCTTTCTCCCTTTGGTCACCAGGTCTTTTGTGATTGATCTCTCGACCTGTGTGTGGGAATGTCGTGATTACATCACGAAGTTGTACATAATATCACGTGTATGTTTGTGTGACGTTATCGTCCACGTAGCATTAGCCCTTTTGTTTGTTTTGATGGCTTTATGGTTTTACCTGGCTTCTTGATGATCAGAGATTAGAGTAAGTCATGTAGTACTGAATGAGAATTAATCCCAGTCCTTATGAAGTTAGTTATGTTGTGGAACTAAGAGAGTCTAGACTCTAGTCACAAAAACAATGTCTGGGTGGTGGCCATTGAGAGAAGCTTGGAACTCCCCAAGTTTTGACAAGATACCGAAAGCATTTGTCAGTATGAGGCGGAGCATTCTAGGTGGTTGCCGTGCACGTGTTGGAGCCATCATTGTGAGGATTGGTTATCCTGCCGGGGTGGCTGCGCACCAGGCTGGGCAGGACGCTTCGCATCATGCGACAGCGAATCAGGTGACCGCTCCGCAGAAGAACGTTTGTGGCTGTGTGGCGTGGTTACAGGTGTGCCGGCAGCGGCAGCGGACAGGCCACGACTCGCGCTCAGGAAGTCATTTATCGTGGCGGCAATCCCAAGTTGCTGTTGCTCTTGATCATGCTGCTGTGCTTCCAGCTGGTTGGTGCTACTGTCGCTACTGCTGCTGCGGCGACTGCTGGTGCTGCTGCGGTGACTACTGGTGCTACTGCTGCTGCGGCGACTGCTGGTGCTGCTGCGGTGACTACTGGTGCTGCTGCGGCGACTGCTGGTGCTGCTGCTGGTGCTGTTGTTGTTCTTGTTGTGGCGGCTGCTCTTGCTGCTGCTGGTGCTGTTGGCTGCATTCTCATTTGTGGAGGTGTGGAATCTCCACGGCCTGCAGTAGAGTGGCCTTGGCCAGAAATTGGCGGACGTCACTGTCAGCTTGGAGGTGGCATCAACCGATATCCTGGCTGACACTTGCCCGTTTCCGGCTGTATGTAGGCTGCATTGGTGGGCTTTGACAGGCGTCCCTAGGCTTTCTGATCTACGGTGTACAAACTCAGTGAGACTGTCCACTGTGCAGTCGTGGCTCAAGTTGCCCACAAAGAACACAGATCGCTTCTTTCTTGGCGGGCCCGCCGCAACTAATTTCCAACTGTCATCCTTGATGACGGCCATGATAGGGTGGCTCTTCTCGCAGTCTGATTGCACAGGCTCAGGATCGACAAAGCCGGGGTCGTCCGTACGGGTACGGGTTTCGTGCTGTGCAGAGCCAGAGGCCACGTCGATCTGCCCTGACTGTTGTCCAGCATCTGCATCGGCTGGGTCGAGCTGGTTTGCTGCTGCAGCTGGGTCAGGCTGGCCCTGCTGGGGAGGACGGTTACGAGGTTTCGTGCGGGTACGAGATTTGTCGCCTTGGACTTG